ACACACACACACGTGGAAATTGGTGTCAGACATAACTACCCCTCAGACCATTCTAAAGAGATAGTGATGTTGATAAACAATAAAGGAGGACAACAAACCATTGTTTATTCTTTAAGTAAAAGCAAACGATAGTTGGTTGTTTTCCTTGAATGGGACTAAAAAACCATCTGGGGGGCATTGATATCTGACACTTATTTTAACCCTAGTGTGTGTATGTGTATGTGTGCGTATATATATGTATATATATATATATATATATATATATATATATATATATATATATATATATATATATATATATATATATATATATATATATATATTCATCATTAAATATGAATTTAGCAATGCATGAAATAACAACATTATATTAAAATAAAAACATCTTTGGGCTTTATAACATACATTTATTGAGAATTTGTGCATGCAATATCTACATATGACTGTAATTTATAATCAAAGTTACATTTCCAGATTATTTTTAATCTTTTTCTTATTTGTATTAAAAAGTGTCTGAATTAAAGTTTAAATATGTTTTTTATAAATAGGGAAGATAATAAATTAACTCACTTCTTTTTTTGACGCATCCTTATAACATAAACATCCTGCTCGAAGTTTATAGCCTTCTTTGTCATAGGTTCTTGGAACTTGTGCTTTCATTTTTAAAGATTATACTGATGATCTAAGACTCAACCACAAAATTAATTCCATATTATAGCCATATGAAGCATTTTTGCTGAAGTATAAACCAAAAAAATTATAAACAGATTATCAAAATAAAAACATTGAAAATTAAACTTATCATTACTTCCATATTTCTCCTAGTTAAAAATAAAGTATAAAGTGTAAGTTAAAATTTAATCCTTTTGTCAAAATTATACAAATATTTATTTAAAATTACAAGGGTTTCATTATGACTTTTTGAATAGACATTTGAAAATTATTTTTTTTAGATAAAATAGCCATAAAGATTAGTTAAGAAAAATTGATGTTAATTAATATTAAACAAATTGAATTAATAGGTTAAATTTTCAAAATTTTAAAGTAAAGAACTTGATCATATTATTGAGTTTCAAAGAAAACAAATCTTAAAAATAGAAATTAACAAATATTAATAACCCATTCATAAGTTCAAAATTTTCAAGCAAAAATAAACACGCATTAGTTTGTCAAGTGAAAATAAAAAATTTCCCTCATCGCTTTTAAAATGCCTGATGTTCAGCCTGATTCACAAAAATATGTTTTTTAAATATCAAAGGATTAAAACTGTTGAGAATGAACATTTTGTTAAAGAGGCATTATAATAAAAATTATTACATCAAGTTGATGCAATAATTTTAGCATTGATGATCAAGAAAAAATGTTTTCACTTATCATTCAAAAAAATTAAACAACTTTTATCAAACAGCATTGCTTTAAAAGCTTGAAATTCTGACAGCGATTTTTTTACAATAATTAACAAAAATAAACTTTTTACATCTGTGTAATTTCCAATATAAAAAAAATGGAAAGATACTGATTTTACTGTATGGTATGTTGCATCAAAACACGCTTTCGAATCGTAATTGCTAATCAGTTGTAAATCCAGCTTTCGCAAAAAAATAATTTTGCGTTGTCAAGAACACCAATGGGAAAATTATTCATATAACTATGAAACTTCAAAATATAAATATTTTTGTTCGTAAACTATTTTACTATTAAATTAACACCAAATAAAATAAAAAATTTAAGTAAAATTAATTTGTGATTTGATAAATATTTATTAAAAGTAAATATTTTTTAGTTTACTAATTTAAACCCCCTTTCCTATTTTAAAATTCAAACTCTTTTCATCTATTTCTTAAAACTTTGCACCAGCTCTTTATAAAATCAGTTGAATAAAAAGCATGAAAGATTAACATTTCATTTAAATTTTCTATTAAAAACATTGAAAACAAGATTATTATTTAATCAATCTTATTTTCAAAAATAACCATTGACTATTTACTATATTTTCAACATTTATTATATAACTACTTAAGATATTATATATATATATATATATATATATATATATATATATATATATATATATATATATATATATATATATATATATATATATATATATATATTTTTTTTTTTTTTTTTTTTTTTTTTAGTATTGTATTTGCCGATTGAAAATAATTTACACTCGTAATTTATAAAAACAAATATTTACATGACTGGGGCTTGAAGAAGACAAAATTCATCTTATCATTAAGCCCCCCCCCCAAAAAAAAAAAAAAAATGCATATTCATCAAATAAAATATTTTAACAAAATGTAAAAAATAAAATATATAACGTTTAAAATATTTAGTAATTCAAAGAGTATTTATATTTAAGAACTGATTAGTAAAATAAGATGATATATAAGTATTAATATTACAAAAAGAATTTACAATAACTTTTTTTAATAAAAATTGAAATTATAAAATTTTACAATATTTTTAGTAATTAGTATTTCAAATAATAAAACTTAAAAAATCGTTTGTAAATTCAAAACTTATAAGATAAGAAATACATTTACAATAGCAGACTATTGTTTAGAATATTAAATATAATATTAAAGAGTAATTAGTAGGTTAATTTTTGTTTTTGTTTGCTAGTTTAAAAAGCTTTTTAGAAGAACTTTAATTCATTTTCATGTATCATCAGTAATTGCTTAAGTTTTGTTTTAAACTGGTTTAAAGAATAATTTGATTTCAGCTCATTATTTAATATTGTATTCCACAGCTTAGGACCTCGATTTGCAATTGAGAATTTGGTTGCTGAATAATGTGTTTTGGATTGAATGTAATTGTTTTTTGAAAATCTGGTAGGGTATATGTGGTTTATTTTTTCAAAAAGTGAATTAAATAACATTGGTGATATTTTTTATCAAGTTTAAACATGAAGATAAGAATATGGTAAAGGTTTTGTTTATATACATTTAGAATATTAAGTTTATTAAATAATGTTTTAGTGTGAGAGAAACGGTCTACGTTTGTAATTATCCTTATAGCCTGTTTTTGTTTACTAAACAGTTTTTTTTACTTTTGTTGCGTTTGTGCTGCACCAAGCAACGTTTGCATAATTTAAGTAGCAATGAATTAAAGAAAAATATAAGTTTTTTAAACAAGACAGATTTAAAAACTGCTTGACTTTATACAAAACACCTATATTTTTTGATATTTTATTTTCAATTAGACCTATGTGGTCCCTCCAGGTTAAATTTTCATCCAGAACCACACCTAAAAACTTTATTGATTGCTCTCTTTTTAATAATGCGTTATCAATAAAAAGATCAGGAAGTTTTAATGGAATAACTTATTTTTTATGAAGACGATGGAACAAAGTGTATTTGGATTTATTGATGTTCAAAGATAGTTAGTTAGTTAGTTAGTTAGTTAGTTATATATATATATATATATATATATATATATATATATATATATATATATATATATATATATATATATATATATATATATATAAATATATATATATATATATATATATATATATATATATATATATATATATATATATATATATATATATATATATATATATATATATATATATATATATATGTATATATATATATATATATATATATATATATATATATATATATATATATATATATATATATATATATATATATATATATATATATTAGGGTGTCACAAAAAACAACATTTTTGAAAATAATCTGCTCTCACCCCCTAAATGTGTTCTATCTAATACAAAAATACTAGGTTTAATTTTTTTTTGAATAAAAAATATTTAAGGGGTCCCTCAAGACCCTCAAATATTAAATGGGTCCCTAATATTTTCGAAAAAAAAGTTTTTCAAAAGTATGTCAACCTGGTACTCAAATGAAGGGAAATTATATAAATATTTCAAAAATAATATTTATTTCGAAACAAAATTGTTATTTTTGGTTTTATTACATAAAAAATTGCGTTTTTTAAGAAAAAATGAAAAAAATGCATATAAGGCAGTTTTTTGGAGGAGGATAAACCACATGGAGGATAAACGCATGGAAAGAAGGTATATATTAAATAAAATAGTATGTTAGATGTTTTTTTATATTTACTTTTTTGTAACATGAAAGTACAATGATAAGGGTCATTTGTGATGATATATTTTCATACTTGTTTATAAAAAATCTATAAAAATCTATAGCTTTTTCATATTACCTGCAATGTATTCTTTAACTTATCTACTTCTGACCTATACTTTCTTCTTTACATGCTCACTCTACATACAAATTTTCAACATTACTTTCTTTTCTTTTCTTTTTTACTGTAAATAATGATTATTCTGACCTAATTATTATTATTTAGATGTATCGCAAAAATGAATCGTGAAAAATGAAATTAAATTGAAAGGAAAATCTGGTAAAAAAGCAGTCGGACCTCACCTTAAAGTTTCGAGTTTTGTAAACGAACTAGCGCTTGAGTGGACAGAGCATCAATAGATCAAAAGACGTTTTGTTTATGTTTATTATAATTATTATAACGTAATATATATAACAACTTTTATAATATAGTATAATTTTTCATAATAAAATATTATTTGTTATCATATATATTATATAGTATATAAAATACAATATATATATATATATATATATATATATATAATATATATATATAGATATATATATATATATATATATATATATATATATATATATATATATATATATATATAATAACCGCTATAATATAATATAATCTGTTTATAATTATTATAGCTATTATTACTTGATGTGTATCATATTATAATACAAGTAGTTTCTTAATAGTCGAATTACATTTTTATTACAACATATAAACTTTATTAATTTATTTTTGACTTTTAGCGTAAACTCTGATAAATGAGTTGAGTAAATGTCTATTTGCTGAATTAACGGAGTTTTTCCGTTAATTTGTATGAAAAAATGAAATACGGAAACCGTAAGTTTTACGGAGAAAGTGCTGTCTCTTTGCTGCCTGATATTCTCCGTTATTTTGTACGGAAAAAATGAAATACGGAATCCGTGAATTTTACGGAGAAAGTTCTGTAACTTTTTTAACGGACTTTTTCCGTTGATTTTTACGGAAAATAGATACTACGGAAACCGTTAATTTTTACGGAGAAAGTGCTGTCACTTTGCTGCCGGACAATCTCCGTAGATTCTACAGCAAAATTTTTAACAGTGCGTTAAACGAAATCTTCAGTGAATGGTCAATCAGAAAATAGAATTTTTGCACTAGTTACTGACTCAGGGGCAAATATTTTCTTTATAGTAAATAAATTTGATGATAATATTCTTAAGATTCCGTGTGCTGGTAATCGTTTGAATCTCGTTGTTAATGATCTTCTAAACGCTAGAGATATAAAAATTAAAAAAATTTAAAAATGGGTCAAAGCGTTACGAAGTAAAAGATTACGACAGTAATGGAAAATTAATTAATAGAGAAATTACAGAAAGTGAAGTTAAAGAAATTGAAAAAATTAACGAAGGCAAATTAGTAATGGCCAAGGTAGTTTCATCATGCAGGCATATTGTTGGTTCATTTAAGCATTTAAAGATGTTACAAAAAAAGTTAAAAGAAGTTCAAGAAACACTTTGTTATGAAACTAAAAAAAAGTTTGTACAGGATATAGCTATTTGCTGGAATAGCCAATTCGATATAATTGAATCTATATTAACAAATAAAACTGCATTGGATATGATAAGC